AAAGTTTCTAGATGAAATTACTTAGAATGGTACGTATGTAGCTGGTTTTTGAAGGTAAAGTTTTAGACGAGTATACTCGTCGACGACTGAAAAAAGAACATTTTGTGAAAACGTGTATACACGTTTCTGCCGGGGAAGGGGTTAAATACCTTTATTGAGATATAATTAGCATATCACATAATTGATTCATTTAAAGTGTTGAATTAATTCAATGGCTTTTATTATATTCGTAGATATATGCAAACACCACAGCCAGTTTTCTTCACCTCTGAGAGAAACCCCATGCCATTTAGCTGTTACCTCCCTATCGTCTGGCCTGCCAGTCCTAGCATCCACTACTCTACTTGTCTCTATGGATGTGGCTGTTCTGGACATTTCATATAAATGGAATTATACATTATGTGTTCTTTTGTGATTGGTTTCTTTCACTTTGCATTACAAGGTTCATATTATAGCATATCTTAAAATTTCATTCTTTTTATGGAAAGAATAAATTTCATTGGATATACCACATTTGTTTGCTCATTCATCAGTCAGTGGACATTTAGGATGCTATCTTTTGTCTATTATTGAGTAATGCTAATATAATCATTCATTAACAAGGTTTGCTTGGACATATGCTTTTATTTACCTCGCGTTTCTAGATAGGTGTGGAATTGCTGGGTTATATGGTAACTCTGTGGAACTGCCAGACTGTTTTCCAAAGTGGCTGTACCATTTTACATTCCCTGTGACAGTCCCTGAGGCCTTATTACCTGACTTTTGGTTATAGCAACCCTCGTGAATGTGAAATGCTATCTCACGGAGGTTTTGATTTGCATTTTGATATTAGTCATCTGGGCTGGCATAACAAAATACTATAGCCTGGGTGGTTTAAATAATAGAAACATATTTCTCCCAGTTCTGGAGGCTGAAAGTCTAACATCATGGTGCATCAGGGTAGATTTCTGGTGAGGCCTCTCTTCCTGGCTTGCAGGTGAGCACCTTCTCAATGTATCCTCACATGGCTTTTCCTCTGCACCCTGGGGAGAAAGAGCTCTGATGGCTCTTTCTGTTTTTGTTAGGACACCAGTTCTATTGTTCAGATAATTACAGATGTCCCTCTTTTTTCCTCCCATAGCTCCCCTCCACCCGGTTCCCACCTCACCCCATGCCCTTAGCCCTCACCACTGTCCTCATCCATAGGTGTAAGATTTCTGTCCAGTCTCTTCCCACACCCCCCTTCTGCTCCCCCCTAGAATTGTTTTCTGATGGAGTCTTTGGGGTTTTCTATGTACAATATCATATCATCTGTGAATAATAACAGTTTTACTTTCTCCTTTCCAACATGGATGCCTTTTGTTTTTTCTTCTTGTCTGATTGCTATGGTTAGGACTGTTAGTACTATGTTGAACAAGAATGGTGAAAGCAGACATCCCTGTCTTATTCCTGTTCTTAGGGGAAATGGTTTTAGTTTAGCCCGTTGAGTATGATGTTGGCTGTAGGTTTGTCACATATGGCTTTTATAATGTTGAGGCATGATCCTTCTATTCCCATTTTGCTGAGAGGTTTTTTCCCTAGGGATTTTTTAATTTGTGAGAGGGAGGACCTGGAAGAATAGGGCTGCACAATTTTGGCTAGCACTGGGAGTAATTCTGTTTTTTTAAACAACTTGGATGAGCAGAGAGGAAGAGTGGAGTGTTGTGTTTCTGTCTGTGTGCATGAATTATTAATCTTTGAAAACATGACAAGAAACAATACAAAGCATAACAAAACATGATTATAAGGTCCTCATAATAAGAAATGTAAGATTCATAAGATGTTTTCAATGTTTCTAATTTTAGGATATTACAAAGTTGATGTCCACATTGAGGAGAACCAGGAAAAACAAGAGAAACCTCTTTGGCAAGTAATATTCATTGATAATACACT